CAGTAGAACTCAGGGTGGTACTACAGTACTCTGTATTACTGCCTCATGTTCTCTCTGTGCTTGCAGTAGAACTCAGGGTGGTACTACAGTACTCTATATAGCTGCCTCATGTTCTCTCTGACCTCAGTAGAACTCAGGGTGGTACTACAGTACTCTGTATTACTGCCTCATGTTCTCTCTGTGCTTGCAGTAGAACTCAGGGTGGTACTACAGTACTCTGTATTACTGCCTCATGTTCTCTCTGTGCTTGCAGTAGAACTCAGGGTGGCACTACAGCACTCTGTATAGCTGCCTCATGTACTCCGTGTTCTTGGTAGAACCCAGCTCTGGTGGAGGCTCCACTGTCCCTGCAGCTCGCGGTCAACTCTCCTCCAAAAACCTCCATTAAGACATCGGGGGCGACAGTCGTGATGACAGCCATCGTCAAGGTGATGGTCCTGCCTCCAGGTCAGCCTCCGGTCCAGCTGAGCAGCATGACCATGGTACACGCACGCACGCACGCACACACACAGACACACAGACATAGGTGATGAAGATGATGAAGGTGTGAGTGGTTCCAGTTTCAAACATCAGTCTGACCTGCAGGAATCAAACATGTTCTCATTAACGAGCACACGTCAAAGTGTTGAATCACAGTATAAAATAAAACTCATTAAAAGCTTCATATTTTAAAAAGTGTTAATGCTGGAAGAATGAAACGTGACATCCTGCATGTTCTTAAAGAACTGAACATTTTAATGTTTGAATGTTTCTGTAGCTCGAAGCGTTCAGCGGTAGGAGGTGATAACAAACTGGTTCCTGGTTCAGACCAAAGCTACAAACACCATCACCTGACCTGGTTCCAGTTTAAACTGTTTTATTGTCTCATGTTTCTGTCCTCCTGCAGGAGTCAAAGTTTAACGCCAAAGTTTCTATGAAGGGGAAACGTCTGGCTGTTCATGCTGACCTCCGCAGGTATATCAACACCCACACAGATTACAGACGTACCTTGTCATTATCACAAGAGCTGTGATTGGTCAGTTTGGGCTGCATGTCTCTGATGTCACCTGGTAGTCAGGTTGAGGCTGCTGTCTGCTTGTTCTGGACACAGGTAATACCGGAAACTTCTCCGGTTTGGGGACCTCAGAATTAATGTGTTCTGTTGGCTTCATCACACAGTGACTTCCAGCATGACCTGGGGTGGTCTGCAGAGTCAGCTCCCCACAGTCTGAGGTTATGGTTCTCTGCTGGAGACTGGTGGATTGTTCCCTCTGGTTTGGGAGAAAGTTACTGTCCCAAGAGAAGGAGTTTGTCCCGGTCTTGTTCACAGCGAGGGTAGAATGGAGCGTGTTTGGCGCGGCATCGGCAGTGATGCAGGCACTGTGCTAGACCGTCGTGGTTCAGAGGGAGCTGAGCCAGAAGCCAAAGCTTTCCATTTCCTGGTCCATCTCAATTCAATCAATCAATTTTATTTATAAAGCCCAATATCACAAATCACAATTTGCCTCACAGGGCTTTACAGCATACGACATTTCTCTGTCCTTATGACCCCCTTATGACCATCTCCGTCCCAACCCTCACCTATGGTCATGAGCTATGGGTAGTGACTGAAAGAATGAGGTCACAGATACAAGCGTCTGAAATGAGTTTCCTCTGTAGGGTGTCTGGGCTCAGCCTTAGAGATAGGGGGAGGAGTCAGACATCTGGAGGGAGCACGGAGTAGAGCCGCTGCTCCTTCATGTTGAGGTGGTTCAACATCTGATCAGGATCCTCCTAGTCCAGCTGGTAGGAGGCCCCGGGGCAGACCCACAATGAATGGAATGAATAAATAAATGGATGGATGGATGGATGGATGAATGAATGGTGGATGGATTAATGGATGGATGGATGGATGAATAAATGAATCGATGAATGAATGAATGGTGGATGATTAAATGGTTAAATGGATGGATCGATGAATGAATGAATGGTGGATGACTAAATGTTAAATGGTTAAATGGATGGATGGATGGATGAATAAATGGATCGATGAGTGAATGAATGGTGGATGACTAAATGTTAAATGGTTAAATGGATGGATGGATGGATGGATGGTCCTCCTCTGTGGTCTGGTCCTTGTTTTCCAGTCTTTCAAAATCTGAATCACAAACTGAAAGGAAGTGACATCAGTATTTTGTTTGAAATGACATCACCACCTGACTGGACCAATGTTTTTCTTTCAGGTTTAAAATCTTCTCCAATCAGTCGGCTCTGGAGTCTTTGGCAGTGAGTGTGTTTCACCTGATACTACAACTTTACCACAACTTTACCACAACCTATAACATTACAGAGATGGAATACACACTAACCTGTTTCTCTGTCTGTCTCTCTCTCTCTCTCTCTCTGTCTTTCACTCTGTTTGTCTTTCTCTGTCTCTGCGTGTCTCTGTCCGTCTGTCGCTCTGTCTGTCTGTCTGTCTGTCTCTTTGTCTCTGTCTGTCTGTCTCTCTGTCTGTTTCCATGTCTGTTTCTTTGTGTCTGTC